AGTAAGTTGAGCAGTACATTGCACCATGTAGGTAATTGCTCTCAATGTGTAACTATTACAAGGACGTTCAACTTTAACCTACACCTCCATAAAAGCACCTGATTGGTGTTATTCTGGAAACAGGAACAGAAGTAGGTAGCCTAGCAGTTAAGAGCGTTGGGCAGGTAACTGAAAAGTAGCTGGTTTGAATCCCGAGTCGACTAGGTGAAAAATCTGTCGCTGTGCCCTTCATCAAGGCACTTAATTAACCCTAACTGCTCCTGTAAGTCGCTCTGGATAAGAGCGTCTACAAAAATGTATGAACAGAGGAGCACATTCAGAAAACATTAACATAAAACCCACCTCTCTTAGAGGGAAATAATTGACAAATTAACACCAACAGAAAACCATCTATGATGTTCTTTTGTTGCACCAGAGACTGGATGTCTAAACAATAGAATAAATTATATCTTTATTAACAAATAGACTGCTATTGTAGTATTAACTGCATTAAACAATGAACTGGCATGACTCCAGGGTAGAAAAACGTGATTTTAAGTGGCAAATTTTTTGGAGCAGGGCTGGGGTCAATTCGAAGTGAAGGCAGTCAATTCAGGAAGTAGACTTAAATAAGAATAAGAATAAATACAAAAATTCATCGATTTTCAATGAGGAGTAGAAGCTATATATTTCAAAAGTTTTTCCATTTTTTATTTTTTATAAAATCACTTCCTGAATTGACCACCTTCGATTGAATTGACCCCAGCCATGAAGTGTAGTAGATCTATATTCTCTGCTAGGAACATCACAGATGGATTAGTTTGACTTTTTTCAAATGTAATGTTTAACTTCAAAGAGTGCAACTGTCACACTCTGGCTCCGGGACTGTGTGTTAGAGCCAGGGTGTATTTCATTTGGTGGTGTTGGGTATGGGTGAGTTTCATTTGTTTGTGTTTTTGGTAATTGGTCTGGTGACTCCCAATCGGAGGTAACGAGTGTCAGCTGTCGGCTCGTTATCTCTGATTGGGAGCCATATTTATACTGTGTGTTTTTCACTTTGTGTTTGTGGGTTTTTGTTCCTGTTGTTCCAGTGTTCCATGTTTCAGTATTTGTAACTTTTGGACTTCACGTATCGTCATTTGTTGTTTTTTCGTGGTTGCTTTATATAAATAAAAGTCATGTTCACTCAACGCGCTGCGCTTTGGTCCGCTCATTTCGAAGACGATCGTGACAGAAAAACCCACCATCAAAGGACCAAGCAGCGTGTCCAGGAGCCGAGGGTCTGGACATGGGAAGAGTTATTGGACGGAAAGGGGTCATGGACTTGGGAGGAGATCCTGGATGGCATGGATCGCCGTCCATGGAGCGAAACAGTGGAGAGGCGACGGAGAGAGGAGCAACGGCGTCGGCAGAGCCAACGTCGGAAGGACGAGAGGCAACCCCAAGAAATTTTTGGGGGGGGGCACATGGCTTGGGCGACTGAGCAGCAGGAGGCTGCCACAAGGCAGATGCAGAAGGCTACCAGGTTAAGGGGGCTGACGGAGGCAGAGAAGGGGCGGATTCAGGAAGCTACCAGGTTAAGGGGGCTACTGGGAAAAGCAGGGAAGGAAGGTGTAGAGGCTCGGCGAGAGGTACTGGGGTGTGTAACCAGTCCGGTCCGGCCCGTTCCTAATCCCGAGGTACAGCCAGTAGTGTGTGTTCCCCGTACGGTACGGCCTGTTCCGGCCCCTCGCACTAAGTGTACGGTGCGCGTCGCCAGCCCGGTTCGGCCTGTTCCTGCCACCCGCACCAAGTGTACGGTGCGCGTCGCCAGCCCAGCCCGGCCTGTTCCTGAGCCTCGTAGGAAGCCTACGGTGCGCGTCACCAGCCCGGTTCGGCCTGTTCCTGCCACCCGCACCAAGTGTACGGTGCGCGTCGCCAGCCCAGCCCGACCTGTTCCTGCCACCCGCACCAAGTGTACGGTGCGCGTCGCCAGCCCAGTCCGGCCTGTTCCTGAGCCTCGTAGGAAGCCTACGGTGCGCGTCGCCAGCCCGGTTCGGCCTGTTCCTGCCACCCGCACCAAGTGTACAGTGCGCGTCGCCAGCCCAGCCCGACCAGTTCCGGCACCACGCATCAGGCCTACGGTGCGTCCCCAGGGCCAAGCATGCCCTGTTGCTACTCCCCGCACTAGCCCTGAGATGCGTGTCCTCAGCCCGGGACCACCAGTTCCGGCACCACGCACTAGGCCGTATGTGCGTCCCCAGGGTCCAGCATGCCCTGTTGCTTCTCCCCGCACTAGCCCTGAGATGCGTGTCCTCAGACCGGTACCTCCAGTTCCGGCACCACGCACCAGGCCTACGGTGCGCCTCAGACGGCCAGAGTCTGCCGTCTGCCCAACGGGGCCTGAACTGCCCGTCTGCCCAAAGCATGCAAAGCCGCCCGTCTGCCATGAGCCATCAGAGCCGTCCGCCAGACCGGAGCCGCTAGAGCCTTCCGCCAGACAGGATCAGCCAGAGCCTTCCGCCAGACAGGATCAGCCAGAGCCTTCTGCCAGACAGGATCAGCCAGAGCCTTCTGCCAGACAGGATCAGCCAGAGCCTTCTGCCAGACAGGATCAGCCAGAGCCTTCCGCCAGACAGGATCAGCCAGATCCGTCAGTCGGCCATGAGCAGCCAGATCCGTCAGCTAGCCATGAGCAGCCAGATCCGTCAGCCAGCCATGAGCAGCCAGATCCGTCAGCCAGCCATGAGCAGCCAGATCCGTCAGCCAGCCATGAGCAGCCAGATCCGTCAGCCAGCCATGAGCAGCCAGATCCGTCAGCCAGCCATGAGCAGCCAGATCCGTCAGCCAGCCATGAGCAGCCAGATCCGTCAGCCAGCCATGAGCAGCCAGATCCGTCAGCTAGCCATGAGCAGCCAGATCCGTCAGCCAGCCATGAGCAGCCAGATCCGTCAGCCAGCCATGAGCCGTTCAGCCGGGATCCGCCAGAGCCGTCCAGCCGGGATCCGCCAGAGCCGTCCAGCCGGGATCCGCCAGAGCCGTCCAGCCGGGATCCGCCAGAGCCGTCCAGCCGGGATCCGCCAGAGCCGTCCAGCCGGGATCCGCCAGAGCCATCTAGCCGGGATCCGCCAGAGCCGTCCAGCCAGGATCCGCCAGCCAGCCAGGATCCGCCAGAGCCAGCCAGCCAGGATCCGCCATTTAGTCCGGTGCTGCCCCTTAGCTCGGTGTTGCTCCTTATCCTGGTGCTGTCCCTTATCCTGGTGCTGCCCCTTAGTCCGGTGCTGCCCCTTAGTCCGGTGCTGCCCCTTAGCTCGGTGCTGCCCCTTAGTCCGGTGCTGCCCCTTAGTCCGGTGCTGCCCCTTAGTCCGGTGCTGCCTCTTAGTCCGGTGCTGCCCCTTAATCCAGTGGGGTTAGGATGTAGGGTGGTCGATTGGAGGAGGCTAATTAAGTGGGTAATGACTATGGTGGGGTGGGGATCACGACCAGCGCCAGAGCCGCCTCCGTGGAGTAACACCCACCCAGCCCTCCCCATTTTTTGGGTTAGGCGCGGTCGGAGTCCGCGCCTTTGGGGGGGGGGGTACTGTCACACTCTGGCTCCGGGACTGTGTGTTAGAGCCAGGGTGTATTTCATTTGGTGGTGTTGGGTATGGGTGAGTTTCATTTGTTTGTGTTTTTGGTAATTGGTCTGGTGACTCCCAATCGGAGGTAACGAGTGTCAGCTGTCGGCTCGTTATCTCTGATTGGGAGCCATATTTATACTGTGTGTTTTTCACTTTGTGTTTGTGGGTTTTTGTTCCTGTTGTTCCAGTGTTCCATGTTCCGTGTTTCAGTATTTGTAACTTTTGGACTTCACGTATCGTCATTTGTTGTTTTTTCGTGGTTGCTTTATATAAATAAAAGTCATGTTCACTCAACGCGCTGCGCTTTGGTCCGCTCATTTCGAAGACGATCGTGACAGCAACAATGGTTAAAATTGTATAAATGTTTAACACACCTATATTGCTGAGTTTTATAAATATCTATTTTTTTCATTATAGAATGACAAAACATCACCTCATTTCACACCAGACTTTCAGTAGGCTCTTTCTTGACATGTAGAAAATAAAATACAGCAACTCCATCATGTATTTTATGAGTTGGTTTATAATTCCTTTTACATTTAATTACCAGTGGTCAGTTCCATTCTTTTATTTTTTTACATACTTTTTACATACTTGCAGGTAGTCTCGTTCCCAGCCTGATTCATAGTTCATAATACACATGCATTTATATTATTTAAGTATAGAATACTCTGCAATACTCTGATGGCTAAAGGTGAGAGAGAGAGCGAGAGAGAGTCAGAAAAATACATTTAAAAAATGAAAACCTGAATGAATCCATATTTTCTACATAGATTGTGATATGTGATATGATAATTACTATGATAATTGACAAACTGTGTACAAAATGTATTAGCATTAAATCAGCCCTCTCAAATAGAAAGTTAAACCGTCACGAGCTGCTAAACAACATAACTGGCCTTGGACTGTCACCTATATCAAGAGAAAGTATGAAAAAAAAAATATATATGTATGCACTCACTAACTGTAAATCGCCCTGGATAAGAGCGTCTGCTAAATGACGTAAATTTAATTGTAAAGTATTCGCACGACCATGATCTATGCAGCGCGGATTCTTATTGGACGCAAAGACCACGAGCTCCACGTGATGTTGTAGTAGGCTACACTGACTGCACGAGCTCTGTTGGGCAGTGCATGGTTATAACGGCAAGACGCTGGAAATTATTTGAATACGAATAGAAAGCTATGCAATACTGCTGGTGTAATCCTCAAAATTTAATCTAATAGAGAATATAGTAATTTATCAATCTCTGCTCATATTTTCTCCCTTTGTTTTCATACTGTTAAGAGAAAAAATACATGTGTGCGTTACTCAATATCCAAGTTTAGGCTACTGTGTAACTGTTATGGCTACATTCTGTCAGGTACATGTACATAGTGTCAAGGAGCCGTTGTTCAACTGAAACATAATTCTGTGAAGTAATGGGTTCTAAATTGACCAGGCAAAGTAGTCTGGACCAAATAGAAACCACATTTTCCAAGAAGAGACGCCAGCGGCATGACAGCTCCGGAGAAGCTGAGCGAAGTGGAGGCGGGGAATTCTTGTTTACATCCCTGATGCTGAAGTCAGACAAGCTCCCAGGGATGCTGCGGAAAAGCAACCACAGCCCCTATGTGAGACGGGTGGCATGGATCAGGGAAATACAGAAGCTTCTTCGAGAACAGAAACAAGAACAGGCAGTCGAGGTGCTCAAATTGCTAAGAAAGGTAAGAGAGCATGTTTAACATTGAATAATAGTTTACTTCTCCTCAACTTCATAAGATGTGTCCGTCCGTAAGTTACCTGGTGCACCTGCAGAATTTGATGCTGTTTGATCAGCAGTAGCCACAGGTTGTCACTCAAGTCAGCCTGATCAATCATTAGAAATGTACTGGTAAAAATGCTGCATCTACTATTCGTATTAGATTATTAGGGCGGCAGGTAGCTTAGTGGGTAAGAGCGTTGGGCCAGTAACCGAAAGGTCGCTGGTTCTAATCCCCGAGCCGACTAGGTGAAAAATCTGTCGATGTGCCCTTGAGCAAGGCACTTAACCCTAATTGCTCTTGTAAGTCGCTCTGGATAAGAGCGTCTGCTAAATGACCAAATATAAAATATAAATTATGTATGTGTACGCTACTGTACGTTTGTTTGTAATTTAGGCTGGGTTTCTTCATATTTTGGGGTTTCCCCTTTAAAATGATTTACTGTATGTCACAGTCTCTTTAAATGTTTTTGTTCATTTAATTGTCAACCTTCATTTAGGGTCTTAGCTATATACACTACATGACCAAAAGTATGCCTAGGTCTAGCCCGAACCATGAAAAACAGCCCCAGACCATTATTCCTCCTCCACAAAACTTTACATTTGGAACTATGCATTGGGGCAGGTAGCATTCTCATGGCATCCGCCAAACCCAGATTTGTCCGTCGACTGCCAGATTGGTGAAGCATTACTCATCACTCCGGAGAACGCGTTTCCACTGCTCCAGAGTCCAATGGCGGCGAGCTTTACACCACTCCAGCCAACACTTGGCATTGCGCATGGTGATTTTAGGCTTGTGTGCGGCTTCTCGGCCATGGAAACCATTTCATGAAGCTCACGGCGAACAGTTCTTGTGCTGACGTTGCTTTCAGAGACAGTTTGGAACTCGGTAGTGAGTGTTGCAACCGAGGACAGACGATTTTTACGCGCTACGAGCTTCAGCACTTGTGTGGCCTACCACTTCGCAGCTGAGCCGTTGTTGCTCCTAGACGTTTCCACTTCACAATAACAACACTTACAGTTGACCTAATAGAGAATATAGTGCTAACTGTGCCACTAGAGATCCTGGTTCGAATCCAGGCTCTGTCGTAGCCGGCCGCGACCGGGAGACTCATGGGCGGCGCACAATTGGCCCAGCGTCGTCCAGGGTAGGGGAGGGAATGGCCGGCAGGGATGTAGCTCAGTTGATAGAGCATGGCGTTTGCAACGCCAGGGTTGTGGGTTCGATTCCCACGGGGGGCCAGTATAAAAAAAATAATGTATTCACTAACTGTAAGTCGCTCTGGATAAGAGCGTCTGCTAAATGACTAAAATGTAAATGTAAATGTTGACCGGGGCAGCTCTAGCAGGGTAGAACTTTGACTAACTGACTTGTTGGAAAGGTGGCATTGACGGTACCACGTTGAAAGTCACTGAGCTCTTCAGTAAGGCCATTCTACTGGCAATGTTTGTCTATGGAGATTGCATGGCGGTGTCCTCGATTTTATACACCTGTCAGCAACGGGTGTGGCTGAAATAGCCGAATCCACTAATTTGAAGGGGTGTCCACATACTTTTGTATCTATAGTGTAGTTTAGTTCATGGTACAATTATTCAGTGGCTTGCCCCTTACATAATCACAGATCAAAAGTGTCTGCTGTGTCAGATTGTCTGCCTTGTCTGGCTCAGGTATGTATGGTAACACCATCACTGCTGTAGAGATGTAGGTCCTCAGGCTCTTCCTGGAATATCACAGATCATATCACAGGCAACCACTGAGTATGTTTAAACGAAAGGCCAATTTTCTATTCCTTCGATGTCATTCTCGTGGACACAGAAATGCAATGTTTTCCTACATTCCACAGTTCTACATTGTGTACATGAAATGTGTCCACATATTTATCCTGCCATGCTGGATGGTGCTTGTGAATTGCACACAAATTAATGAACTATCTGAGCCACGTGCCACTCATCAAATTTAAGCAGCAGCAAAAGGCATAACCTTGCACTGCTCTGCTTCCCTGTTGTGAAGAAGGCGCAACAGCTCAGGAGGCTGAAGAAATTCAGCTCAGCCCATAAGACCCTCACAAACTTTTACAGATGCACTATTGAGAGCATCCTGTCGGACTGTATCACCGCCTGATACGGTAACTGCACCGTCCGCTACCGCAGGGCTCTCCAGAGGGTGATGCGGTATGCCCATCGCATCACCGGGGGGCACACTGCCTGCCTTCTATGACATCTACAGCACCCAGTGTCACAGGAAGGCCAAGAAGATCATCAAGGACCTCAGCCACCTGAGCCACGGCCTGCTCACCCCGCTATCATCCAGAAGGCAAGGTCAGTACAGGTGCATCAAAGCTGGGACCGAGAGACTGAAAAACTGCTTCTATCTCAAGGCCATCAGACTGTTAAATAGCCATCACTAGCCGGCCTCCACCCAGTACCCTGCCCTGAACTTAGTCACTGTCACTAGCCGGCTACCACCCGGTTGCTCAACCCTGCACCTTAGAGGCTGCTGCCCTATGTACATAGACATCGAACACTGGTCACTTTATTAAACTGACCAGTGTTCCATTATTAATGTTTACATACTACTTTTACCCATTTCATATGTATATACTGTATTCTAGTCAAGGCCATCCTATTCAACTATTGCTGTACATAAACAATTCTATCCTACGTTTTCTTCAGATATACTATACTGAACAAAAATATAAACGCAACATGCAACAATTTAACGATTTTACTGAGTTACAGTTCATATAAGGCAGCCAGGCCAACTCCCTGGGGAGCCAGGCCCAGTCAATCAGAATGAGTTTTCCCCCACAAAAGGGCTTTATTACAGACAGAAATACTCCTCATGCTGTTTAATCAGCTTCTTGATATGCCACACCTGTCAGGTGGATGGATTATCTTGGCAAAGGAGAATGCTCACTAACAGGGATGTAAACAAATTTGTGCACAACATTTGAGAGAAATAAGCTTTTTGTGCGTATGGAACATTTCAGGAATTTTTTTTTTCAGCTCATGAAACAAGGGACCAACACTTTACATGTTGCGTTTATATTATTGTTCAGTGTACAGTGAGGGGAAAAAGGTATTTGATCCCCTGCTGATTTTGTACATTTTCCCACTGACAAAGAAATGATCAGTCTATAATTTTAATGGTAGGTTTATTTGAACAGTGAGAGACAGAATAACAACAAAAAAATCCAGAAAAACGCATGTCAAAGCTGTTATAAATTGATTTGCATTTTAATCAGAAGGATTTCTGGCTCCCAGGTGTCTTTTATACAGGTAATGAGCTGAGATTAGGAGCACACTCTTAAAGGAAGTGCTCCTAATCTCAGTTTGTTACCTGTATAAAAGACACCTGTCCACAGAAGCAATCAATCAATCATATTCCAAACTCTCCACCATGGCCAAGACCAAAGAGCTCTCCAAGGATGTCAGGGACAAGATTATAGACCTACACAAGGCTGGAATGGGCTGCAAGACCATCGCCAAGCAGCTTGGTGAGAAGGTGACAACAGTTGGTGCGATTATTCGCAAATGGAAGAAACACAAAATAACTGTCAAACTCCCTCGGCCTGGGGCTCCATGCAAGATCTCACCTCGTGGAGTTGCAATGATCATGAGAACGGTCAGGAATCAGCCCAGAACTACACGGGAGGATCTTGTCAATGATCTCAAGGCAGCTGGGACCATAGTCACCAGGAAAACAATTGGTAACACACTACACCGTGAAGGACTGAAATCCTGCAGCGCCCGCAAGGTCCCCCTGCTCAAGAAAGCACATATACAGTGGGGAGAACAAGTATTTGATACACTGCCGATTTTGCAGGTTTTCCTACTAACAAAGCATGTAGAGGTCTGTAATTTTTATCATAGGTACACTTCAACTGTGAGAGACGGAATCTAAAACAAAAATCCAGAAAATCACATTGTATGATTTTTAAGTAATTAATTTGCATTTTATTGCATGACATAAGTATTTGATCACCTACCAACCAGTAAGAATTCTGGCTCTCACAGACCTGTTAGTTTTTCTTTAAGAAGCCCTCCTGTTCTCCACTCATTACCTGTATTAACTGCATCTGTTTGAACTCGTTACCTGTATAAAAGACACCTGTCCACACACTCAATCAAACAGACTCCAACCTCTCCACAATGGCCAAGACCAGAGAGCTGTGTAAGGACATCAGGGATAAAATTGTAGACCTGCACAAGGCTGGGATGGGCTACATGACAATAGGCAAACAGCTTGGTAAGAAGGCAACAACTGTTGGTGCAATTATTAGAAAATGGAAGAAGTTCAAGATGACGGTCAATCAACCTCGGTCTGGGGCTCCATGCAAGATCTCACCTCATGGGGCATCAATGATCATGAGGATGGTGAGGGATCAGCCCAGAACTACACGGCAGGACCTGGTCAATGACCTGAAGAGAGCTGGGACCACAGTCTCAAAGAAAACCATTAGTAACACACTACGCCGTCATGGATTCAAATCCTGCAGCGCATGCAAGGTCCCCCTGCTCAAGCCAGCGCATGTCCAGGCCCGTCTGAAGTTTGCCAATGACCATCTGGATGATCCAGAGGAGGAATGGGAGAAGGTCATGTGGTCTGATGAGACAAAAATAGAGCTTTTTGGTCTAAACTCCACTCGCCGTGTTTGGAGGAAGAAGAAGGATGAGTACAACCCCAAGAACACCATCCCAACCGTGAAGCATGGAGGTGGAAACATAATTCTTTGGGGATGCTTTTCTGCAAAGGGGACAGGACGACTGCACCGTATTGAGGGGATGGGGCATGTATCGCGAGATCTTGGCCAACAACCTCCTTCCCTCAGTAAGAGCATTGAAGATGGGTCGTGGCTGGCTCTTCCAGCATGACAACGACCCGAAACACACAGCCAGGGCAACTAAGGAGTGGCTCTGTAAAAAGCATCTCAAGGTCCTGGAGTGGCCTAGCCAGTCTCCAGACCTGAAATTAATAGAAAATCGTTGGAGGGAGCTGAAAGTCCGTAATGCCCAGCGACAGCCCCGAAACCTGAAGGATCTGGAGAAGGTCTGAATGGAGGAGTGGGACAAAATCCCTGCTGCAGTGTGTGCAAACCTGCTCAAGACCTACAGGAAATGTATGATCTCTGTAATTGCAAACAAAGGTTTCTGTACCAAATATTATGTTCTGCTTTTCTGATGTATCAAATACTTATGTCATGCAAATGAATTACTTAAAAATCATACAATGTGATTTTCTGGAATTTTGTTTTAGATTTCGTCTCTCACAGTTGAAGTGTACCTATGATAAAAATTACAGACCTCTACATGCTTTGTAAGTAGGAAAACCTGCAAAATTGGCAGTGTATCAAATACTTGTTCTCCCCACTGTACATGCCCGTCTGAAGTTTGCCAATTAATATCTGAATGATTCAGAGGAGAACTGGGTGAAAGTGTTGTGGTCAGATGAGACCAAAATTGAGCTCTTTGGCATCAACTCAACTCGCCGTGTTTGGAGGAGGAGGAATGCTGCCTATGACCCCAAGAACACCATCCCCACCGTCAAACATGAAGGTGGGAACATTATGCTTTGGGGGTGTTTTTCTGCTAAGGTGACAGGACAACTTCACTGCATCAAAGGGACGATGGACGGGGCCATGTACCGTCAAATCTTGGGTGAGAACCTCCTTCCCTCAGCCAGGGCATTGAAAATGGGTCGTGGATGGGTATTCCAGCATGACAATGACCCAAAACACACGGCCAAGGTAACAAAGCATATTAAGGTCCTGGAGTGGCCTAGCCAGTCTCCAGACCTTAATCCCATAGAAAATCTGTGGAGGGAGCTGAAGGTTCGAGTTGCCAAACGTCAGCCTCGAAACCTTAATGACTTGGAGAAGATCTGCCAAGAGGAGTGGGACAAAATCCCTCCTGAGATGTGTGCAAACCTGGTGGTCAACTACAAGAAACGTCTGACCTCTGTAATTGCCAACAAGGGTTTTGCCACCAAGTACTAAGTCATGTTTTGCAGAGGGGTCAAATACTTATTTCCCTCATTAAAATGCAAATCAATTTTTTACCATTTTTGACATGTGTTTTTCTGGATTTTTGTGTGGTTATTCTGTCTCTCACTGTTCAAATAAACCTACCATTAAAATTATAGACTGATCATGTCGTTGTCAGTGGGCAAACGTACAAAATCAGCAGGGGATCTAATACTTTTTTCCCTCACTGTATATCGACTCACACACTCTTAGAAAAGAAGGCGCTATCTAGAACCTAAAAGGGTACTTCGGCTGTCCCCATAGGAGAACCCTTTGAATAACTATTTTTGGTTCTGAGTAGAACCCTTTTGGTTCCAGGTAGAACCCTTTTGAGTTCCATGTAGAACCCTTTACACAAAGGGTTCTACATGAACCCAAAATAGTTATACCTTGAACCAAAAAGGGTTATCCTATGGGGACAGCCGAAGAACCCTTTTGGAATCCTTTTTTCTAAGAGTGCACCGTTCCACTGAGCCGCTTTAACAACAGAGGTGGTACTTGTAGCTCTCCTGTTTTTCCTCTGTGAGTGGAAAAGCTGCTTTTTCTTTCGGGGAAGGCTGGATTTGGAGTTAATCTCCTTGAGCTGTTGGATGGTGGTGGGGCATGCCTGATGCCTCCTTCACAGCACAGCACACAGGAAGTTATTACACAGAGGAGATGCACAGAGGAAGCAATGAGACCAATCTCCCTTCTGGGCTATTAACGTTAATTACTTTGGATTCTTCTCTATGTTCGTCAGTAAACAAGGAATCAGCAAGCAAGCATTAAGCTTAAAAGCATAAACACTGAATATGTTTAGTGATGTGTGAAAGCAAATACTAAAGTGTCTTGGAGGTTATAATAGGCTAACATTACCTTTGTAATGAGACTTTCCAAAAACTACTTTTGGTATTTGTTTCGTTAGTTCATTGTTGATATAGTCCCTAAATGTTTTGCATGTCAGCAATCAAGTTTTCAAGATATATAACTTTCAAAATACGGAAATACAGCAGGTATGCAATATTATACAAAATTGGTCATAGTTAAACTACTTGATGATTTACCACATTTTTTACATACTAATCATAAAATGATCCACAATCTAGGCCTATCTCTATGTTGTTGTTTGAGACTTGTTTACTGTATTCTGTTGTGGTATATTTCCCTCTCATAAAGGGAGAGCTGGAGAATGGCCCGGAGTCAGGGAATCCCAGAGAGCTCTAGTGTAATACATAAGCCAGAAAGCTGGAGGAGAAAGTGCTGATGGGAGTTTTTCTCAGAGCTTTCACTGTAGGCGTCAGTGCTTAGCCTTTCAGACTGTAGGGTCTGCTTAACATAGGAGTCCTCAGCCTCCTCCTATACAGCATCTTTACACCAGCTTACACGTATAGCCCTAGCCTGCTACTACCTTCACATTGCATGGAGTCCAGCAAGTATACAGACCTACAGCAGCTTTGCTCATACCTTGATATCATATAACCCCATATGTGACTTAGAACACATTTAGTAAACCAAGTCCTGAAACAAATTAGAGGAGGAGAATGTTGTTTTGTCCTCCTCTGCTCTACTCCGCCTTAACCTTTCATTGTGGTGGATGTTTTGTTTTTGAGCCTTTCCGTCACGTCTTGCCTGCGGTTTCAGCTAATTTGTTTCAGGGATTGCTGTGTGTGTTTGGTTGATGTCATCCTCCTCGATATGGGAGGTTGGTGAGGGCTGCGTCGAAGGCCTTTTGATGTGTGTCAAAGTGTTAGGTTTCAAACTCGGGCTCACGATGACATCAATCCCTCCTCACCAGCAGCAGCCCTCAGAGCATTACCGGAAGTTGCAGCTTCCTTTGCCTCAATCTATTTACACTGCTGGTGTCACTGCAAATAGCAGCAGCCCTGCAGATGATACTAGAAAGAACAACCTCTGGGGGTGTTTTCTCATTCCTCGTTTTTATTAAACCCGTCTACACATCACACACGCCTGCCATTTTAATTCCAGAGAAGATGGTAGGGAGCGGAAGTGCTGTAGACTTGAACCATTTCTCTCTAAGTGCCTGCGTGGTGTTTTTAGAGGTCTTTCTTGGATAGCTCTGGAGTGTGTTCAGTGTGGTGTGTGTAAAGACCCAGGGCTTTTAGGGATGGAAGTGTCCTAAGGCACATTACTGCTGCGTTGGGTCTGCAAAGTCACTGTCCCTAGAATGCATGTAATGCAATAGAACGTAATTTTACTGTTAGGGGTGAATGAGGGCACAGCACATCACTTTAGTTGTTGTGTGTCTGTTAAAATGTCATTTTGGGAGAAATTGTCCTGCTTTAACCCCCCATACCCCTCATCCCACACCCCAGCCTATCCTGTGCCTTGTCCCATGTGGCACTCTTACTGTAAAATCCTCTCAGCTTGATAAATAAACATCATGAGGAAAGTGGATGATGAAAGGATTATGCAAATACATTGACAATCTGTTACCATTAAGCAGTCCACATCATGTCACTTGAATACTTAATGACGCATGACTTGCACTTAAATAATATAGAAATTCACCCCTTGTTGGACCTTGGAATGATTGAAAAGAAACACCAATGATATATTATTCTCTCCTGCTCTGTATTCCTACAGGACTTGGGACTCCAGGGAACATCCCTCAATGATATCCTCTATAAGAATACAGCCTTTCTCAACCTGGTGGATCCAATCTCCCATGAGCTCTTGCTCAGCCTGGCCAAAGACATGCAGTGTCCAAAGAGGGTAAGCCCATCGTAATGTCTGACTGTTGATCTGTCTGTTTGTCCATCTGTCTGTTTGTCTCAACCACCTCAGCCGTGCTGTTGTCAGGGAACATTAAATTAGATCAGGCACAGAAAATAGAACGTTTAGGAATCCACGGCTGCAAGGGTCAATTCAAGAGCAAATAGATGATGGTCGGTCTCTTAGAAATATGACTGCTAGGCCATTTGGTTTGTTTCCAGCCTTCTAACTGCTGCCATCAATCATACAGTTGTTATGATTAGGCGTGTGTGTGTGCATACGTGTTCAATCCTGGGGTGCTGGAGACATGGGGCACCTATTTATAAGTAATGACCAGAAGTAGGTAAGTCACAGTGTGGTGTCATTACTACAACCGTCAAAGTACAATCCAATGTCTGGGACTGTCATTCCAATGTCAACAACAACTCATCACAATGTGAAGAACCAGTCTCAGTGCTTCAAAATGCATCACAACACATTACTTTTATTGTGCGTTCAACCATAGTACTGTGTTTTTAGATCTCAAGAGCCCTGTGGTGGCTACAGCCTATGCATATTCTGAATCGTGTTTGAATTTGATTCCATGTTGACAATGCCCCAATTCACATCAACGAGAAAAACATGTTATTTCCAGATTATAGTCAAGGCCTTTTCTAAGAATACTTCCATTCAGTGAACCCTTTCCCCACAAAGATGAAACATAACAAAGACTGTAATAGTGTTCTTACTGACATCCCATTGCCTGATAAGAAACGCTGGAAGGTTTGAAGTGTATGAGGCATGTTTGTGCCACACAGAGTGGGAGGAGTGGGAATGGTTAATAGCCTGACGTAAATTGCCCCTGTCTTTTTTCTATTTCGCTGCATTGCTTCTTTCTTGTTGTTGTGTTGTACCATTAATTAGATTTACCCTGCTCTGCTTAACCCAATCCTTTTAAAGTCTTTGGGGAAGGGGGGGTGGAGAGGGAGAAAGAGCAATGGAGCAAGAGCTGGAGCGAGACCAAGGAGAGAGGGACTGACAGAGATGCTAAAGCATATTTTTATGTATAACCATGTTGGATGGACAAGGGAGAAGACCCTTGAGATAATGTGGTGAAAGCAGCCAAATGGTTGGATTGTTTGTAGTGGGATAAGTGAAGGGGATCAGACAATTATTATATATTATTATAAATAACCTTCACCTTTTAAACCATCACTACACAGCTCAATGTGACATAATAGGGGTTGCAAGGCCATAAGTGAAACAGTGGTCCATTGAAATATGTTTATCCAAGATGTTCTGCCTAGGGCTTCTAAAATGTATCAATTAATTCTTAGGCGTCACAAGGTTGCCTGTTGTGCTAATTGTGGTTAAAGGTAAATTCCACCCAAAAACTATATTTTGATATTTGTTTCATTAGTGCATTGTTGACATAGTCCCAAAATGTTTTGCTTGTCAGCAGTCAAGTTTTCAAGATATGTAACTTTCAAAATACAGAAATGATCCCGTATGATGCATGTTGCATCATATGTTGCAAAACGCAGGGGTCAAATTCCATTGTTCATGATGTCAGAAAGGAAAATAGGCCTATTTTCATTACATTTATTCAGTTCAGAAAGTCAACTAGAGCAGTCTCTTTGATTGTTCCTCTATTTGAAAGCCAGACACCTTAAGCCCTTAGTGTTTGTGTATGTGTATATTACAGGAGACAGACACCCTGAAGTCGTCCGACAAGATCTGCAGACAGCTGATATTCCACCTGACCCCTCACTCCAAGTGGATGAGACAGAGCCTGCCCAGGAGGAAGTCGCAGGCCTGGTGAGTCCGTCCGTCTGTCCATCTGTCGCTGACACATCCACCAACTGGGACAGCTACTGCCATAACACCACCGCAAACAAATAAACAGCTAACAGCAAACTGACATCAGAGCAGTGATACAGTACGCACGGCCCCAAAACCTACTTAAGCCCACTAACATCTCTGAAACAGGACAGTCTCGTGTTTAGTGAGTGTGTGTTAGAGATTAGTCACTCCTGATGTTGGGCACTTTACTGTACAATACCAGCAAGGATTTAATGTGTTAGATAATTACACAGCAGCACCAGCTTCCACCAAGTGTACTTCGTTATTGTCTTGGGTAGGGTTGCGAAGCTACCGGTAATTTACCAAAGTTACTGCAATCTTCAGTAATTATGGTAATTAGCAGAAAATCTATGGCAATCTATCGTAATTTTGGTAATTTATACTTGAATAACTTAAAACATATATATTAATATATAGTATTCATTCATTATATCTGTGTCCATATTGTCCATGAGTTTCTAGTAGATAGACCACATGGTTCAAGAGAAAATAGCCTAATTAATGAAAAAATCATTAATCAACAATGCCATTATTTTCAATTAACTCTGCAACTCTTCCAACTATTGACTGTGTTTAAAACTGCCACTAGTTTGACGCCAAAACTTTGACAACAAATACATACTGACATAGTAAAATACGTGTTTAAAAAAATATTTATAAAGGATCATTCATGCTGAAACTCTCATATTAAACATCAACGGTATTCACTAAGTTGATGGTTTATATTTAGGATAATGTTTTTTTATTTTTTTTGTCATTTAGCAGACGCTCTTATCCAGAGCGACTTACAGGAGCAATTAGGGTTAAGTGCCTTGCTCAAGGGCACATCGACAGATTTTTCACCTAGTCGGCTCGGGGATTAGAACCAGCAACATTTCAGTTACTGGCACAACGCTCTTAACCACTAAGCTACCTGCCGCCCAGCTTTGTCATTCAATTTGTTCTTTTAAAATCATCTTATTTAATTATTTCATACATTTTACATGTGATAAGGCCACACAGAGGGCCAGAGATTATTACAGACACCTGTGATAATCTGAAGTACCCAAAAGGGCCACAAGATGTATTGTGATAGATTACATAAAATCCTTGAAATTCTGGTAGTTTACTGGTAAACTTAGAAAGTGTCCAGTAATATACCCTCCCTTTGCAACCCTAGTCTTGGGGTCCTATAATATAGGCCTGTGTAGTAGCCTATTGTGTAGGGCAGTATATCATGTTTACTTGGTGCAGAATACGTTTCTATGGGAGTGTACTGTAGTGTAGTTGTTCCACGCCCCACTGCACAGCTTGACAACGGTCATGGTACTGTAGATCTATCTAACCGATGAATAAATGAACAGATCAATCCTAATAAATAACAGAAAGAGATCGGTTTTAATGAGAAAAACATCAGACAGATCCAGCTCGGGTGCTAAAACGGTGCCGACAGAGGGCGCCTCAAGCTCTGATAAAACATTGCAGGTTTCAGTTTTTTTTCTTAATAATTTTGTTTTGTGCATTACTGCATACACCCGGGTAGAACTATTGGAATACAAATCGCTGAGTACTCACCATCCACCCAACCTCCCCGAATTCCCTGAGACTGCAAAACAATGGACTAGCATCTTCGGCGAGGCGCCGAGCGGCTTGGGAGTCCTACCGGAGAGTAGGAAGCGAAAATACAGACGGAGAGGCAGACGTGGCGGGGTCTTAGTGAGATTAAGACGTCCTCCATTACCGAACATACTACTCGCCAATGTTCAATCATTAATGAACAAACAAAATGAGCGAGGATCTCCTTCCAGAGGGACATCAAATCCTGCAACATTCGGATTATATGCAACCAGCGGGTTTTACAGTTTTCCGAGCGAATCGGAAGCGGGCTCGCTCTGTCAAGAGTAAAGGTGGTGGGCTCTGCTTTATGACAAACAACACATGGCGATGGGGGAAACATACAGGAACTTGCAAGCTTCTGCTCCCCCAACTTGGAATACTTGGTCATCAAATGTTGCCCTTTTACCTTCCGAGAGAGTTCTCAGGGATTATCGCCATGGCTGTGTACATCCCGCCCCAAGCCGACACCAAAAAGGCTCTCAAAGATCTTCATTGGACCCTGAACAAACTGGAGATCGCATTCCCGGAGCAGCATTCGTTGTTGCAGGGACTTTAACTAAAGGAATTTGAGAACCGTGCTCCCAAATTATTACTAACACATCGACTGTCTAAATCGCGGAAATTCTACTCTTGACCACTGCTACATGCCTTTTCGGCACGGGTATAAGGCCCTCTCCCATCCTCTTTTCGGATGACTCCATCTCCATCTTACTTCTCCCTGCCTACAAACAAAGACTTGAGGGAAGTTCCGGTGGTCAGGTCTGTACAGCATTGGTCCGACCAATCAGAATTCCGCTCCAAGACTGTTTTATCACGTGAACTGGAATATGTTCCCGGGTCGCCTCTGGAGATGACGTCAATGAATATGCGGCTCAGTCACCGGATTCATAAAAAAATGCATAGATGACGTGATACTGATAGTACCTTTAAAAACGAACCCACTTCAAAAACCGTGGATTGATAGCAGCCTTGTAGGAAAACTGAAAGAGAGAGAAGCTGCTTTTAAATAGTACAAATATGACGTACGCAGATAGATCAATATGGTGAAACACAAGTATAGGAACAAAGTGGAGGAGCAATTCAGCGGGTCGGACACAAGGCATATGTGTCAGAGGCTCCTAACATTCACGGATTACAAAAAGAAAGCCAGCCACATCACAATCACCAACACCACCCTACCGGGCGAGCTAAACACCTTTTTCTCAAGATTCGAGCACAAGGACCCTGAGCTGCCGAGGAGAGCCCCTGATGACAACGTGGGCTACACACTCACAGTCTCCACTGAGGACGTATGTAAGTCATTCAAACGTGGTAACCCTCGCAAGGCTGCCGGCCCAGACGGCATCCCTAGCTGTGCCCTCAGAGCATGTGCAGAACAGCTGGCTGTTGTGTTCTCTGACATTTTTAATCTCTCCTTAGCTCAGGCCGCTATACCCATCTGCTTCAAGATCAAATCAAATAAAATGTTATTGTCCACTATCATCCCCGTGCCCAAGAAAAGGAAAGTAACTGAACTGAATGACTACCGACCAGTAGCACTCACTTGCGTCATCATGAAGTGCTTTGAGAGGCTAGTCAAAGACCATATCACCTCCTCCCTCCCTAACACACTAGACCCTCTCCAATTAACCTGCCCTGACAGATCCTCGGATGACCCAATTGCCATTGCGCTGCACATTGCCCTTACCCACCTGGACAAAAGGAATGCATATGTGAGGATACTGTTCATCGACTACAGCTTGGCCTTCAATTCCATAGTGCCCTATAAGCTCATTACAAAGCTCACGGCCTAGGGTCTCCTCCCTATGCAATTGGGTCCTGGACTTCCTAACGGGCCGCTCCCAGGTGGTGAAGGTAGGCAACATTACCTCCTCGACACTGATTCTCAACACAGGGGCCCACAAGGATGCGTCATCAGTCCCCTCCTGTATTCCCTGTATACCCACGACTGCGTGGCCTCACACAGTTCCAACTTCATCATGAAGTTCGCTGACGACATGACAGTCGTAGGCCTGATTACCAACAACGACGAGACAGCCTACAGGGAGAAGGTAGGCACTCTGACGGCGTGGTGCCTAGTAAACAACCTCTCCCTCAACGTTAGCAAAACAAAGGAGCCGATTGTGGACTTCAGGAGGAACCAGGCTGGACACGCCCCCATCCTCATCAACGGGGCCACGGTGGAGACGGTCAATAACTTCAAATTCCTCGGCGTACACATCTCAGAGAAGCTGAAAGGGTCTAACCACACGGACACCGTAGAGAAGAAGGCACGACAGCAACTCTTCGACCTCAGGATGCTGAAAAAATGTGTCCTGTCCCCGAGGCCCTCAGTGTTCTACAGGAGCAACATCGAGAGCATACTGTCGGGCTGCATCACAGCCTGGTACGGCAACTCCACTGCCGCGGACCGTAAGGCGCTACAGAGGGTGATAAGTGCAGCCGAACGCACCATTGGTGGCACACTGCCTGCCCTACAGGACACCTACAACACCAGGTGTCGCAGGAAGGCCAAGAGGATCATCAGGGACCCCAGCCACCCAAGCCACCCAAGCCATGCCCTGTTCTCCCCGCTTCAATCACTCAGACGCGGGCAGTACAGGAGCATCATGGCAAAAACTGAAAGACTGGCCAATAGTTTCGACCCTCAGACCAAAGGCTGCTGAATAGCCACCACTAGTCAGCTACCTACTCCACCCTCCCCCATGCTACTCCCCCTATGGACATGTATTTATTAATCACTGCTACAGTTATGATGTGTATATATAGTGCTATTTCTATTGTTGTTTTTTATTACCATTTTCATTATTTGATTTCACTTAGTGCCTGCATGTTGGAGCTCGAAGCATAAGATTTTCACTGTACCCTGCAATCACACCTGCAACCCTGTACAGTGGCACCCCCCTTGGCATTTTTCCTATTTTGTTGCCTTACAACCTGGCATTTATTTTTTGGGAGGGTTTTATCATTTGATTTACACAACATGCCTACCACTTTATATTTATTATTGTGAAACAAACAAGAAATAAGACAAAAAAACTGAAAACTTGAGCGTGCATAGCTATTCACCCCCTCAAAGTCAATACTTTGTAGAGCCACCTTTTGCAGCAATTACAGCTGCAAGTCTCTTTGGGTATGTCTCTATAAGCTTGGCACATCTAGCCACTGGGATTTCTGCCCATTCTTCAAGGCAAAACTGCTCCAACTCCTTCAAGTTGGATGGATTCTGCTGGTGTACAGCAATCTTTAAGTCATACCACAGATTCTCAATTGGATTGAGGTCTGGGATTTGAGTAGGCTTTAGCAGTATGCTTAGGGTCATTGTCCTGCTGGAAGGTGAACCTTCGTCCCAGTCTC